GTACCCAGGAATGAATCATGAGAGCATTAATACCAATTAACTTTCCATTAGTGTAATAAAATAATTGAGATAATCTACCTAAAACAAGAAAAGGTTTTAGATTCAGTTTCAGAGATTTTGGTCCATGTTCAGTTGACCCAGTCATTTTTTAGGCCTGAGGTAATACGACATAGTTAAGCAGCTCTGTTTACTTCAGGATAGCCAGGAAGCACAAAGAGACAGGTGGGGCCCAGTTCCCAATAGCTCCTTCAGAAGAATGGCCTAATGAACTAACTTCCTTCCAGTAAGGCTCCACTTCCTGAAGGTTCTACCAATTCAGTATCATCTCATATGCTGGCATCTAGGGAACACACTCATCCAAGCTATAGTATCAGGTGTTTAACACTATAGGTTTTGATACCAAATCTACATCGAAATTTGCCACTTGATGTGTGTAACTTTCATTCTAGAGAAGGACAGACAATAAGCATGGTGCCAGGCATTGTTAATTATGATGGAGGAGAAATAGAATGGTATACATAGAATTAGTCATGGAGGAGGAGTATGGTGAAGGAAAACCCTCTCTGATAATAAGACCATATTGAAATAGGGAGTTGTGGAGGTGAGGGAGAAAACATGGCAGAGGGAATAGCCAATGGAGATACTGAAGGAGGAGTTTGATGACTAGCAAGCGGATATGTTATACTCAGAAAGATTGGGTAAAAGAAAAAGCAACATAAGAGTCAAAGGTGTCAGGGAAATCAAAGGAGATCAGAGAGCTTAACAGCTGTTTGAGGGCTCTGAGCAGGGGATACTCTGTTCCAAGTTTTTGCTGTATTTTTGTAATTGCATGGGCTGTTTTGGTAGTAGTACACTGAATTTGGAGCAAAGATGGAATTAACTGTTTACCAAGGCTGTTAGTGCAGAATCCTGTCAAGAGGTGATTTGATAGTGGTTTAAATCAGGAGGTGGTGATCTTAAGAAATAGATTCTGGGACTAGAGAGATGGCTCAGTGTTTAAGAGAGCACTTGCTGCTCTTGCAGAGGGTCCAGGATTGGTTTCTAGCATCATCATCAGTCAGCTCACAGTGCCTGTAACTTTACTTCCAGGGAATCAGATGTCTCTGGCCTCCGCCAGCACTTGACTCATGTGCCACAGACACACATACAAATTAAAAACAATAAAAATACTTCTTAAAAGAAAGCAAATTCCCAACTACTGTTTGGAGCCTAGAAATACCTGAAAGTGATGCTTCACAAGTTCATGAAGTAGAATATCTTTCTTAATATAGTCTCTTGTTTTTAAAAGTTCATTAATGACTTGGGCCCAAACAAAAAACCCTCCAATTTATTCTCCATTTTAATTTCTAATTTTGATACTGATAAACGATGCGTCTCTGAATTTTATATGTGAAGCTAAATGAGCTAGTATATTAACTTCTGTATTATACTTGGGAAAATAAAATCACATTTGTTGACACTTGCACATTTTTTAATGTTTTAGGGTATGGCTAGAAATTTTAAAATACTAGTAAACCAGCTTTTAATGATCAGTGTATTTATTGTTTGGGTACAGTAATGCTTCTCTTTTTTTTCCTCTTTTTCAATCTCATTTTGTGTAGGTTGCTTCCATCTTTGCTTTTGCCACTTGTGGAGGTTTTAAGGGCAAAACAGAAATTCAAGTGAGTTGTCCTAAAGTTTCTGAAAATAAAACTATTACAGCTACTTTTGGTTATCCATTCAGGTAAGTTTTAAAAAAAATCATTTAATAGCTGTTTGTAAATTCAACAGTGAATTTATTCACTGGGTATCATTAAGATTTCCAACAACTGAGCTAAACTTGGTGACACAGGCCTATAATCTCAGCAATCCCAGCACTTGGCAAGCTAAAGCAGGAGAGTGGAGAATCCCAAGACAGTCTGAGTTAGCAAGTCCCTGTCTCAAACATGTATATAATTTTTTTCAGCATTTATTGATTGAGGATGGTAGCAAATTTAAAATTTTTAGATTTTTAGATTTGTATGCTCCTGTGATTATTGCTACTCAGACCAGTGCCTATCTAAGCATTTCCTGATCTCTGGTGAAATAAATACACAAAGGGAGTATATTCATTGCTTTGTTCTTGCCAAGACCAAATACCTGACAGAAATAACTTAAGAAAGAATTGTTTGGGCTCACAGTTTCAGCAGGGTGTTCCGTGGTTTCTTGGCCACATGCACTTGGACAGAAAATCATGGTAGTGAGAGTGTGTGACTATTCTTCACCTCATGGTAGACAGGAAGCAGGGAAGGGGCCTGAAGACCATGTATAACCTTCAGAGGCAATCCCCCATATGACCTACTTCCTCCAGGGGGGTCCCTCACTAAAGTCTTCAGAACCTGACAAAATAATGCCACCATCTGGGAACCAAGCATTCAGTACATGAGCCTATGTGAGATGTTACATATGAAAGTCATAACAGAGCTGGATGTGGTGGCTCACGCCTTTAGTCCCAGCACTGGGAAGGCAGAAGTAGGCGGATCTCTGTGAGATCAAGGCCAGCCTGGTCTACTTAGTGAGTTCCAGGTCAGCTGGGGCTATAGGGAGACCCTTTCTCAAAAAGACAAAAAAAAAAAAAGTCATAACAGAAAGCAGCCTTTGAAACATTATCTTGATAGTCTATCATACCACAGTATATCTGGAATGGAAAAAAATGGAAACGCTTTAGTTACTTTATACTTTAGGTACTTTAGTGAGAGAAGCAAACAATTTATGACGGTACAGATTTTTTATGATTTTGTTATTACTGAATTAATAGTGTTTTATGTAATTTTAAGATGTATATTTATATAAAGTAAATTCCTATTTCTGTACCATAAAACTATATTCTTTTACTCTTAAGGAAAACATTAGTTTTTGACGTATCTTCTTTGTGACTTCAGAATTCATTGAAAAGTTATTATAAATGTCTGATATTTAAGATAGGATATGAATCTTTTGCTTAGCTTGCTTTACTTGACTTCTCAAAGACTCAGTTCTCTGTCCAGTAAATTGGAAGTGCTGTTTTTAAAGATTTTTGATATTTAAAATATTTATTATTTTTATTTTATGTGTATATGTGTGTTGCCTGAATGTTGGTAAGTGCACCAGTGTCATACAGTGCCTGCAGAAGACAGAAGAGGCTGTCGGATCCCTTGGAACTGGAGCTACGGACAGTTGTTAGCTGCCATGTGGGTGCTGGGATTCGAACCTGGGTCTTCTGCAAGAACTGTTGGTGTTCTGAACCACTGAGCCATCTCTCCAGCTCCAGATTTTTGATACTTAAAAGAAATTTTTTAAAATTTTATATGCATGAGTATTTTTGCCTGCATGTAAGCGCACACCCATCATTCAATGCCTGTGGAGGCCAGAAGAGGGCATCACAACCTCTGGAACTGGAGTTAGTGACGGTTCTTAGCCCCCATGTGTGTGCTGGGAACTGAATCTGGGACAAGTGTAGCCAGTACTCTTGTGCCATTTGAACCATTTCTTCAGCCTTTTTGTTTTTTTAAGACAGGGCTTCACTATGCAGTCCTGATTGGCTTGGAGCTTTGTAGATGAGGCTGCCCTCGAACTCAGAGAGATCCACCTGCCTCTGATCGCTGAGTGCTGGGATTAAAGGCATGCACCACCACACCCTGCAAATAAAATACTATATTAAAGATCTAAAGATCCTGAGAGCTTACTGATGATTATCAAAGGTTTTCTGTCCTTCTGCCCATTCTTTTACAGTTTTTTGTACGGTATCTTTAATGACAGGCGGTTTTGTAATTTATGAATGGAGAAAATGTAAGGCAATATGAATTTTCATTTAGCAGCTAATTAATCCAAGGTTAAAATATGAATCATGATCATTGGCTCTCCTAGAACTAGTCATATAGACTCTACTTCCCACAGTGGAATGTCTCAAGTTGTAAAATATTTGTTATAATCCCTTCTAATATGATAAATTATTTTTGCAGGAAGATAGTGTCTAAATGTTAAATTTAAAGTTCAATCTTTCGTAAACCTGCTACCAAATAAATTTATGGGTATATGTATTACGAAAAATTTGGCTTAATTAAATATTTGGATCTTCCTTTTTTAAAAGAAAATATTTTTAGTATATTTGGGGACTATTTTTGAAATGTCATTTTAATATGCTGCTTAAATATTTCTGTGTTAGGAGAGTCCAGTAATTCATATATTCTTGGGGGCCTTTTTTTTAATAGGTTGAATCAAGCATCATTTCAGTCACCTTCAGGTGCAAATGTATGTGATGTAAACTGGAAAAGTCATGTCCTCATAGGAGATTACTCTTCTTCTGCACAATTCTATGTTACATTTGCAGTCTTTGTGTTCTTGTACTGCATTGCTGCCCTTCTGCTTTATGTTGGTTACACAAACCTCTACCGGGATAGTCGTAAACTTCCTATGATTGTAAGTAATCAGTTTATTTCTCTTTATACAAAAATAATTTGTGGACGTATAAATTGTAAGTTGCATTTGAAGTTAAATACAGGTTTTATTATTGGCAAGCCAAATTCTTGACATAAATGTGTTGGCCATGAGAAGAGCTTTCTTCCATTATTAAGTTTAACCCAAATTTCTTAGTCTGTTTTATACTTAAATATTTGTTTTACTATAGAAAACCCTCAAATACTTGATAAATATTAAGTTCTAAATAGCAAAAATTGGGGTCTGGAGAGATTGCTCAGCAGACAAGAGCTCTGACTACTCTCCTAGCACCCACATAGCAGCTCACAACTGCCTGTAACCTCACTTCCAGATGTACACTATGGTGTACTTATGTACATGAAGGCAAAATACTCATGCATATAAAATAAACAATTTTTAAAAAGCTATTTGTGCTGGGTGTGGTGGTGCATGCCTTTGCACTTGGGAGACAGAGGCAGTTGGATCTCTCTGAGATCAAGGCCAATTGGGGCTACAGAGAGACCCTGTTTCCCAAAACAAAAAACAAACTATTCATGTCATTTTAAAAAAAACAGTTAAGTAGAAACTAATGCCTCAAATTTGAAGAACTGCAGGTCATACCAGTAATATTTCTATTTTTTTTTAACCTTTTTTTCTCTTTCCTCAAAATTCCCTTTATGCTTTTAAGTATCTTAGTAAGCTTACTGTCTCTGTATCAGGGATCAGCAGAATGTAGCCCAAATGTCAAATCTTACTTTTTAAAAATAAAATGTTCTGGGCCAGGCATGGTGGCGCACACCTTTAATCCCAGCACTCAAGAGGCAGAGGCAGGCCTTTCAAGGTCAGCCTGGTCTACATAGTTCCAGGACAGCTGGGGCTACAGGGAGACCCTGTCTCCAAAAGACCAAAAAAAAAGAAAAGTTCTTTGGAACATGGCTATACCTGATTTTGTATGTGGCTGGTTTTCTGTTAAACTCACTCATTTATAGTCTGACCCAGATAATTCTTATATTCAGCATCACTGGCATCAATAAGTTAAAATTGAGTCTTTGAGATCCCAACAAAGGATTTGGATTTGAAGTCCTGATACCTTTCTTGGGGCTTTAGAGTGTCTGAACTAGAAATAAAATAATCTTTAAGATTTAGGGACTAGACTGCCCTGGATTATCATTGGCAAATCCAAAGATAAGCCATGGTTTTAAGTTAGACCTCTACTATAAAAATGACTTTGAAGTCTGTGGTAGTGCATTGATTTGAAAGAGCAGAGGTATTTTTGTGATAGTTATCATTTGTATCTCTGAAAACAATACTGAAGTCTTAATAATCTGAGCTTACTTTAAAGGGAAGCCTATTTAAATATAAAGGAATTATTGATATAACAAGTTTTATTTACTGATTTATTTTTAATTTTTGCTGCTTGGATCATAAGAATGTCAATGGTAAGTAAGAAACAAAATAGTCTTACTATGCAGATTTATTTTCTTAAGTCTGAAAGACTATAAAATAGCTAAATGTTTTCACAAAATATTTTTAGGATGTTACCTTACAAAAATGGACATTATCTGTTTTAACTTGTAGTGCTTATTCATTACAAATTAGGAATCTAGAGCTTCAGACTTTTCAAGCTTTATCTTAAGGAATTAGGTTGATCATACAGATGACTATTTTATTAAAATTCCTTATAATAATTGGGGCTGGAGAGATGGCTCAGCGGTTAAAAACACTGACTGTTCTTACAGAGGACCGGGGTTTGAATCCCAGCATCCAAATGGCAACTAACAACTGTCGGTAACTCCAGTTCCAGGGGATCCAACAGCCTCTTCTGTCCTCCATGGGCATTGCACAACACGGGTGCACTCACCTACATGCAGGCAATACATACTCATACACATAAAATACCTACATGCAGGCAATACATTTTATGTGTATGAGTGTATTGCCTGCATGTAAGTGAGTACACCTGTGTCGTGCAATACCGCAGAGGTCAGAAGAGGGCTTAGGATTCCCTGGAACTGGAGTTAAGGATGGTTCATAGCCTCCATGTGGGTGCCGGGAATTGAACCCCGGTCCTCTGCAAGAGCAGTGGGTGCTCTTAACTGCTGAACCATCTCTCTAGCCCCAATAAGTAAAATATATATATATTTTTAATTCCTTATAATAGCCAGGCGTGGTGGCACATGCCTTTAATCCCAGCACTTGGGAGGCAGAGACAGGCGGATCTTTGTGAGTTCAAGGCCAGCCTGGTCTACATAGTGAGTTCCAGGACAGTTGGGCCTAGACCCTGTCTCAAAAAGACCAAAAAAAAAAAAAAATTCCTTATAATAAAAAGATTTTTTTGTGTGTTTTGTCATTATCCCCACAAATTCCTTTCTACTAAATGTAGCAATGAGCTCTTATGTTTTATTTAGTAAATCTTATTTTTTTAATTTATTTTTATTATATTTGTATGAGTACTTTGTGTGTATATTAGTACACAACATGCATGCGGTACCCGTACAGGCCAGGAGAGGGCATCAGAGCCCCTGCAACTGTAATTACAGATGATTGTTAGCTGCCATGTGGGTGCTGAGAACCAAGCCAGAGTCCTCTGCAAGAGTAGCCAGTGCTTTTAACCACTGAGCTGTCTCTCCAACACCTATCTAGTAAAATTTTAAAATACTGCACTTAAGTCAGTATTCAAATCTATTCTGTAGAAAGCTTTCTATATGATAAAGCAAAATGAGCTGGGCTAGGGAGATGACTCAGAGTTTAAGATCACTGGTTGCCCTTGCAGAGGTTTAGGTCCCAGCACCCACATGATGGCTAACAACTGCCAGTAAGTCCAGTTACAGGGGATCAGATACCTTCTGGCCTCTGTGGGCACTACATGCAAGTGGTGCACCTACATACATGCAGGCAATATACTCATACACAAAATAAAAATAAATATGCTGTTAAAAAATTAAAATGACCTAATTTTATCATTCAGGAAGTCAAAAGTAATTTTCTATGTTTAAGTGATGTTATTGATCCTACAAACCTACAGATATTTCAGAATTAGTTTCATTAATTTTGTTTTTTTGGCTGGTGTAATATAAAATGAATACTTCATTTTTTTTGTTGTTGTTTTGTTGTTTTAAACAGGGCCTTATATATCACAGGCTGGCCCCAATACCTAGCCAAAGATGACCTTGAACCTCCTGATCCTCCTGCTTCTCCTACCTCTGCTTCCTAGTTCTGGGAATACAGGCCTGCATCACCATGCCCAGTTTAACGGATGCTTCTTATTTATAAAAGTAAAATTAAATTTTGAATCCTTTTAATTAAAACAAATAGTATGAAAGGAGCTTTTAGGGTTTTTTGTTTGTTTTGAGCTGTAGCCCCAGCTGGCCTGGAATTCGTTGTATTGGACCAGGTTATCCTTGATCTCCCAGAGATCCACCTGCCTCTGCCTCCTGGATGCTGGGATTAAAGGTTTGTGTCACAAGCCATGCATAGTGGCGCACATCTTTAATCCCAGCACTCAGGAGGCAGAGGCAGGAGGATTTCTGTGAGTTCAAGGCCAGCCTGGTTCCAGGACAGCTGGTGCTACAGGGAGATTCTGTCTCAAAAAGACCAAAAGAAAAGAAAAGAAAAAAAAAAAAAAGGTTTGTATCACCACATCCAGTGAAAGGTGTTTTCTTTTAATACCCAAATTTTAAATTAACCAAAAGTAACATTGATTTTTAGGTATTGTTGATTAACAAAGATGAGCTTGTTGTTTAGCATTATTCTCAATTCTGTACTAAAGTATTGCTAGGAGTATTTCAATTTCAAATTTTTAAGTCTATTTAAGTTCTCTTTTTAAATGAATATAATACTTTTTTTGTTTTAAGTAGTACATGCCTTAAGGGTGGGCCAAATTAGGAATATAGAAAATAAAACATAACAAAAAGTTTTCCAAATTCTAAAATCTGTCATGAGTCATATCCTAATTTACTGGTGGAAGCTAAGCTGCTCCATGTAGCTGCGCTGCAAGACTCCAGGTAGAACTAACTATTCTTTAGACTGTAGTGTGACCAGACTCCTGGGCAGAGCAAATATAATTTGCAGGGACCACAATAATCCCCCACTTTCTTTCTGATTTATTTGTGGCATCATGTTTAGAAAGTTCCTGCTTTGGAAGTATATGGATGCTATACCATAATCTATTTATCAACAAAGTATATTTAAAGAGCATAACCAGTAAGCTGGGGAGATGGCTGCATTGGTAAAGTACTTGCCATGCAAGCCTGAGGATCTGAGTTCAGATCCCCAGCACCCATGTAGAAATTTAGACTTGGAAGTACATGTCTGTAACCCCAGCGCTACAGTGGGGGTAGAGACAGGCAGGTCCCTGAAGCTTACTGGCCAGCAGCCTAGTCAAATCAGTGAGCTCCAGTTCAGTGAGAAACTGTCTCAAACAAGGTGGAGCCAGGAGTGTTGGCACACACCCTTAATTTTTAAGATTTTTTTGTTTTAATATTTATGGTAGTAAGGGGCTCAAATGCGTTATCATGGTCAAAGAACAGCTTGCAGAGTTGGTTCTCTTCTTCCACCATGTGAGTTCCAGCTATGGTTTTAACCTTGAGGGAACTTAACACAACAACCTTTTATCAGATCTGTTTATACAGAAAGTACAGTGGAGGACAAGAGTAGAAGGGAGTAGTCCCACAGAGCAGTGAATGCCAGCTACAATATGTGTTTTCCCTGATCCACATGCTTTTTAAAAAGACCCAAGGCAATAGAGAGCTCAAATGCATTGAGCATTCCATACTTGTATAATTAGTCCTTAGTTTTAGTCCTCTAGTCACAAGTGTTTATTAACTGCTGTCTTAAATAGAATTCCATCTATATTCATGAAAAAATACTGGTATTAATCCTAAATTCATGACTAAAAGATGGCCAGCAAACTCAGACTATCAGGCTTGATGGTAAGCACCTTACATGCTGAGCCATCTCACTGGCCCAAAATAATTAAAATCTAATCCTTCTTATTTTAAAAAAGAATTCTTTCGTGATAAGCCCTAGAACTTGTTTCTGAGTTTAGAGAGACTTTGCTGCTGATACATATGAGCTCATGCCTTGAATAGACCCCATATACTTAGAGTAACATCAAATCTATACATTCTGAATAATTTCCATTTTGATCATAGATTCACAGGAAGACTAAACAAGGTGAGACCTACACTTCATATTACACAAATCCACACTTAAGGTGTTTAGATTTTTGTAACCTATAGCACTGGACAAAATTTTAGTTCCCCTAACAAAGAAGATTGGATAAGGAGACCGTTAAAACATTCACTTATGTTTTTGAAAATGTAATAAATAACGGAGAATTCAGTAGAAAGTAAGGGGTCTTGAAATGCTATTTTTGTCTTTTTGTTAGTATAATGAACATTCTTAAAATTCATAGTCATGAAAACACTTGGTTGTTTTGTTTTTTTTTTTAACCACCCCTTAACCACATCTCTTAGAGAATTAGATTTGACTAAAGTGAGAATTTTATTAGACCATAAAAGGAAGCAACAAGATAAGGGGGATTAGAGTATGCACAAAGGATTCTAAGAATATAAATAATTAAAAGAAATGTGGACATGAGTGAAGCTGAATGACAGTTAACATGGTAGAGTTAGATTATAGGTCTTAGTGGGGTCAAAAGACTTTCATGATTGGGATCCTCAAAAAAGATTACAAAGAAATGCACTTACTAAATGGCAGAGTAAAGTATGTTGTGAAGTATGTTCCTCAGAGTGTATGGCTAAGGTTATGGTGAAAGCTCTGTGAAACTTTGTTTTTTATATAAAAATTATGGACTTCAGGGTTAGGGAGATGGGTCAGTGGATAAAAAGCACTTATAAAAGCAAGAAGTCCTTAGTTCACATCCTCAGCACCCACCTAAAAGTCAGATATGGCCTATAACTGTAGCGTTGGAGGGCAGAGTCAGGTGGATCCTGGGAGTTTGATGGCCAGGCAACCTAACCAAAGTAGCAAGCTTCAGGTTCATAGAGAAACCTGTCTCAAAAAATATGATGGAGAAAAATAGAGGAAAACATCCAACCTACTCTTCTGTCCTTTACATGTGCATGTATGGGTATGAATACCCATACTCAAACCACAAATAAATTAATCCACCAAATTATTCTTGAAAGGAAGCAAGAGGATTGCCATGCACTCAAGACCAGGCAAAACCCTGACTCAAAAAAATATACAAATAAAAAAATGTTTTTGGATTGTGGACTTCTAAGGAGAGGATTAAACCTTACCATGTCTCAAGCATGGTGCTAATAACAGTAAGCACCAATGGTGATTAGATTAAGTGTGACCTTTTATTTTTATATTTTTATTTATTTTTGGTGTTTTGAGAGGGGTTTTTTCTGTAACTTCAGCTGGCCTGGAACTGATGTAGACCAGGTTGGCTTTGATTTCACAAAGATCCACCTGACTCTGCCTTCGGAGTGCTGGGATTAAAGGCATGTGTCACTGGGCCTGGCTGAGCCTGACCTTTTAAATAAAGTATGTCAAAAAGGCTGCTTCTTGGTACCATAGGGTTAAATGTAATCTTTATTTATGTGTTACTATTTTGGACTGTAATACTTTTAAATTGACTGCTCATTAACTCATGCTTATTTTTGCTTTAGGACTTTATTGTTACTCTTATTACTACTTTTTTGTGGTTGGTGAGTGCCTCAGCCTGGGGTAAAGCTCTTACAGATATTAAAGTCGCTACTGGACACAATATTATTCAGGAACTTGAGCCTTGCAAGCTACCAGTGGCCTGTTATTTTGGCTCTGTGACTAGTATGGGATCCCTAAATGTATCTGTGGTATGTATGTGTTACTTACACAATTTATATCATTTACTAGAACAACTTTACTAATAATTTAAGAAAGCTATAACTTTCAGTAAATCTCTGGATGAATATATTGGTTCTTATTTATACTGAGTTATTTAGATTCTAGTTAGCATATAACAGTGAAGAAAAATTTCTTAAGTATTACCTAGGCTGGAGGGATGGCTCAGCAGTTAAGAGTACTGACTGCTCTTGCAGAGGACCCCAGGGTTCATTCCCAGCACCTATATGGCAGCTAACAACCATCCGTGGGCTTCAGTTCCAAGAGGCCCTGTGGGCACTGCATGACACAGGTGCACTTACACATATGCAGGCAATACACTCATACACATAAGGTAAAGTAAAAATAATTTTTAAAAAGAAAAAAGTGCTACTTATGACCCAGGACTTTACCTGGAAGGCACTCACTAATGGTACTCACTAACTTTTGTTAAAATTATGTGCTAACTATTATGTTGTCATATCTTAAGTTATTTGACCATATTCTAAAAGGAATATGAAAGGTAACATTATCTTCATTGTTGGGCTGAGAAAACGTGTGGCTCATATGGTAATTTCATCTGAAAGGGCACAACTTTTGAACTACATCTGACTTTGAGCTTGTTCTCTTAAGTCTCACTTACTCTGGACACATGAAAATAATACTTTTAAGGTTTCTTTCCTTTTTTATGGCATTTATTTACATTTTTATTGTTAAACGAACTTTTAAAGAGTTCTTTAAGGTTCGGAGAAAAATTGAGCAGAAGTTACAGAGATGTCCCACATCCAAATCCCATCATATGCAGCGTCCCCCACTATCCAAACTTACCCTAGAGAGTACATTTTTTCGTTTGATGAACTTATATTGACTCTTAATAGTTGATTATTTTTTATTTTGTGTGTATGAGTGTATTACCTGCATGTATGTAAGTATATGCATGTCATGTAGTGCTCACGGAGGTCAGAAGACAGCATTGGATTCCCTGGAACTGGAGTTACAGATGGTTGTAGCTGTCATGTGGGTGCTGAGGACCAAACCCAGGTTCTCTGCAAGAGCAGCCAGTGTTTTTCACTGCTGAGCCATCTCTCCAGCTCCTACACTGACTCTTATAATCACCCAAAGGCCACAGTGTCTACTTGATGTTGTACATTCTGTGGATTTTGACAAATGTATTATGAAACATCTCTATACTTACATAAATCACTTTCACTGCCCCCAAAATCCTGTATGCTCTGAATCCACTATTCATCTACTATTCATAAGGTTTTAGTTTTTTCTTTTTTAGAGAAAGGGTCTCACTATATAGCTGTGGCTGGCTGGCCTGGTACTGACACTTTTATATTTTTTAAAAATATTTTATTATTTTTATTTTATGTGTATGAGTGTATTGCCTGCATGTGTGTAAGTGTACTCATGTCGTGCAGTGCCCATTTGAAGTTGTTTATTATTAAATACTGAGTATTCTATTTTGGAAGGCCTTTTTCAGAAAAATACCTTTTTTTTTTTGTCTTTTTGAGACAGGGTCTCCCTATAGCCCATCTGGCCTGGATTCGCTATGGAGACCAGGCTGGCCTCCAACTCACAGAGATCCGCCTGCCTCTGCCTCCCGAGTGCTGGGGTTAAAGGCATGTGCCACCGCACCCAGCTCTTTTTCTTTTTTTTTTTTTTTAATTTTTTTCAGTCATTTTGAGACATGGTCTTCCTGTGGCCTACAGCTGACCTGGGGAACTCACTATGTAGACTATGCTGATCAAAAGAAGGTGTCAGATTCCCTGGAGCTAGAGTTATGGATGGTTGTTAGCTGCCATGTGGGTGCTGGGAATCAAACCCAGGTTCAATTCAGTCAGTGCTCTTAACCACTGAGCCATCTCTCCAGCCCCTATATTTCTTGTCTGTAAAATTTAGTGTCTATACAGCATTAAATATTTTTCTGCCATTTTATCAAATTGAAGTTAAGTTTATTAGTAATATACTGAGTAGTCTGTTTTGGAAGGCCTTTTCCAGAAAAATACCTTCTTTTTTTTTTAAGTCATTTTGAGACATGGTCCTCCTGTGGCCTACAGCTGACTGGGAAACTCACTATGTAGACCATGCTGGCCTTGATCTCACAGAGATCCACCTGCTTCTGCCTCCCGAGTGCTGGGATTAAATAGGATTAAAGGCATACACCACCATGCCCAGCCCAGAAAATACTTTTCCAGTAGATAAAGTTAGTACTGCTTTATAAAGCAATTTGTCCACATTTTTGTTTTGTAACTTTGTAATTTAAAAGTCAATATTTGGAATGTATATTGACAGGCAGTGCTTTGAGCTGAACAGTTGCAGAAATTTTGTATATATGCCCAGGTGCACACAAAGAAGTATGAAGCATTTGCCTTTTAGTTACATGGTACCTCAGGCTTCTTACCCCACTCTTAAGTCACTATTACAATTTATAAAGGACTTTGTTAAAATAAGGTAAGTTCAGTTTGTTCACCCATGAGACTTTCTAGTCCTATGCATATATGGGAAGATTAATACTGTAGGTTGGTCAGTGTAGACTGTGGAGTATAACTCTTGACTGCATCTGTGGGTTGGAGTAGCAGAGAGCAGCTGGAGACAGGAGGAAATAGGAGAAGCTGTGTCAGGACAGTCCTAACTTTGAAATGGAAGAAAAGTGAAAACCCTAAAAGATGCAAACTCAGTTTCCTATCGATCCTCTTCACCCTGGAATACCAAAGTTTAAAGACAAAGTAGTTAAAAGGAGGGTTTCACTTTTCTCATAAGAATCCTATGTAATAAGCATGCAAAAATAAGTCTTTATTTGTGTTTTTTATATATGTATATATACACACATATAAATGTTATATATGTGCATATACATATATATAAACTTACAAATTTAGAGGTTTAGTGTGTTGAGAAAGTAAACCATTGTGCATCCAAATTTGTATAATGAACTGGTCTTTATTCTACTTTGTAAATATTAAACATTAAATTAAAAAGATTATATCTTGCCTGAAAATATTACATATTCAAAGGAAAATTAAACATTTTAAGTGAGTATTAAATTTTCATTTTTTTTTTTCCATAGATCTTTGGCTTTCTGAATATGATACTCTGGGGAGGAAATGCTTGGTTCGTGTACAAGGAGACCAGCTTGCATAGTCCGTCAAATACTTCAGCTTCTCATGGCCAAGGAGGTGTTCCACCTCCTTCTGGAATATAACTAAAGGGAGAAGTACACTGTGTGAAATGTGTCTGTACTGTCCTTGTTGCCATCATATTGAGAAGCACTATTGTTTCTAATAAAAAGTAATGGCTTTTTCAATAAATTGGTGGGTTTAAGATTTTGCTGCTTTTCTACCTAAAACGTGTGCCTTTTCTAGAAATTTAAGATGTAAATGTATTTTTACACGTAAATTTGAAAGTTCAGGAGCCTGTTATGAGATGATACTTATTTTTAAGTGAACAATAATTTCACTAAGTTGTTTGCCTTCTAAAGTGTTTACACCTTAAGCTTTAACATAAGCCTTCACTCAGAAAACAGTTACATCATATCCTAATAAGAAGAAAGTGTTTGGAATATACACTACTGTAAGTTTGTACAGATCATATACCTAAGCCTTGTCTTTAAGAAAACCTGGATTATATAAATCATATTTTAAAAAACATTTAGTGCAAATTTTGTATCTGAATATTGTACATGTTTAAAATTTTTTAATTGCAAAGACTGGGTATATGTTTTGTTTCTATTTTTCTAAATGACTTGCTGTACTTATTAGGTGTACTAAAATTGCCTTAGGAGCAAGGACTTGAATATTTCTAACAAATATGTAGTTAATTTCATACTTGTTACAGGAGGTGGTTCCTAGGCTTGCTGTATCAGTAGGAAGAGCACAGCTCAGATGGCTGCTTTCTATCCGTGGGCATTCTCAGTCATGCTTGTTTGCTAGCCTTTGTTGCTCATGCCATCTTAGTGCATATTGAGACCTAGTCTCCTTGCAAATAGAGAAAAATAATCTACCTTTTTTTGCAGACCCTATTTAAAGGGTTAATAAAAATTAACATTTAGTCAGTGAAGTTGATTTTTTTGAGTTTAGCATTGATATTGTAAAAATAAATGCAATTTGGATTTCATATTTCTTAATATTCATTCTTATTTCACAAAAGGATGATTAAGGAATTATGCTCATAAAGGAACCTAAGTAAGCTCTACTATGGGTGTACTGTCTTTATACACATTTGGGTATGTTTGGAATATAGTGCTTATTCATATTTGCTTCCTGGTCTTTTTTGTTGTACAGGGATCTAGACCTCCTATTCTTACAAGATGATGTTTATATGTAAATCACATCTTGCATATTGCCTTATTTTGTTGCTTTTATTCATGACTGAAAGTGTCTATATGGAAATATATGTTTTATGCAACAAATAATAAAGAAGTTAAAAAGAAAGAATGCACCAATTGGTATATTACAAAGAACCCTTCATCTTAAAGGCATGAGCAGTGCAGAATGCAACTGGTTCTCAAATCAGGAACTAGAGTTACAGTAGTGTTTTTTAAGTGCTTGGCAAGGAACGGAACAGACAGAAATGCTTTCATTCTCATTTGAAAAATACTTGTAACTACTGGGTTAAGTTTTCCTGATAAACATTTTCTAATTGATCACTCAAATACCAAAGATTCCTAATGAAGAGTATTCACCTATGTAGCTGGTGATACAGTTCAGTTGGTAGACTGTCTAGCATGCATGACAAGGCTCTGGGTTCAGTCCCCTGCACTGCATAAACCAGATGTCAAAGCTCAAGCCTATAATCCCTGCACTCAAAGTTCAGAGTCATTCTTGGCTATATAGGGAGTAGAAGTTTAAAGCCAATCTGGGATACATGAGATTCTGTCTCAAAAAAAAACACCCACACATGCACACACACTTGCACACCCTGGATCTAAACTGCTTGTGACTTTACTTTAGCTACCCTACTCTCTGGCTAACTTCAGGTGAAGTACTCTCTGTGCCTCCATTTGTATCTGAAAATATGGAAATAAAAGTACTGACCTCAAAGAATATATGAAAATGAAATTAAGTGTAAAGCCATGACACTGGTGAGCACATCATAGATCCTCTATAAATGCCAGCTGTGCCTAAGACTTAACCTGAATCCAAGGGACTAGAGGAACTAGCTTCAAGCATACAAGCTTCTCCCATAACCAATCTCAGATGTTTGGGTGTGTTCATTTTTCTTTTGGGGGCAGATGTTGGTAAGGTCATTGAAAAAGTTGCTACTGAGATTAGAGTAAGCTTAGAGAGAACTTCTGTCACCTTTTTACTCTTTGCTTTTTAGTGAACAGTACAGAATTAGAAAATTTGTAGGATAGTTTCCAAGACAAAAGTGATAAAAGTTTAAACTTACTTGGAGATGGATTGTAGAGAATTATTTAGAGACAGATTCATCATTATGGTTTATATATAATGTTTGCATGGATAAAGATTAATCTGTAAATGATAGTATTGCATGCTCTTATGTATTATGCATAATTCTCTTACATTTTTATATAATTTTCCAATAAAGTATAAAATAATATACAACAGTTGCTTTATGTACATCAGATTTTTTAAGGGAGTAAAATATCTAAGTACAGCTTTTTCATAACTGAGGTTACACAAGTAGACTTTTCTTACCTTTCACTGATACAGATAGCTCAGAAATCAATATTCTCGTGAACTTAGTGTGAAAGCCCCTATAATATTTAGAAACAACTGCTACAGGTTATAGTGTACAGTGTTCACATTTTTCAGTTATAAGCCAAGTATGCAAAATTGCTTAGCAAGTGCTCATACCAATTCAGCCTCCTACCAGCAGTATGTAGAAGTTCATGTTGCTTCATAGTCTTACTGGTACTTGATGCTATTAGACTGTTCCCAAGTTGGTTTGAAATAATGTCTGTGATAATTTTAAATTTGTTTCTGATTGTGATTGAGGTTGGCAGTACTTTTCGGTGTGTACTGGCTACTTTGTCTTCCCTACTGTGTTTCCTAGTCATATCCTTTGCTGGTTTTTCCTTTTTCGGACAGTCTTTTCCTGTTGATTAGGTAGTTCTTTGTATGTTGTCAATAGTAAGGCTTTGAATGTTTCTAGGTTGCAGTTGCCCGTCTATGGTTTATGTTTTCATTTTAATGTTAATTTAGCTATCTTCCTCGTGATATCTGCTTCTTGTGTCTTAAATCTTTTTTCATTATCAAAGATATCTATATTCAGGCCAGTGCAGTAGCACATGCCTTTAATTTCAGCACTTGGGACGCAGAGGCAGACAGATCTGAGCTTCTTGAGGCCAGCCAGAACTACCCAATGAGACCCCATATCCAGAGGGGGAAAAAAAAAGATACCTGTGTTTTCTTCTTCATATTTTATTTCTCCCTTGGAGGTCTTCATACCATTAAAAACGGTATTTTATGGTCCCTACTTTAATTAATCTAATTTTCAACATATTCAGTTGTCATGTTGCTAAATTATTTTTAAATGTCTTATTTACCTATTGTGAATTTCCACATTGTCTGTAGCCCTTCCTATATGCTTATCTAGCCTTATCATCCTTTAATTATACATAGCTTTATATTAGTTTTGGCTATGGTGAAATAATGTGTTCTTGTATATATTTTAGTGTCAGCTCATCAGATGATTCCTAAAAACTTTGGTGAGATTTCATTTGTAAAGAATTACATTGACTTTATGGATCAATTCATGGAGAATTTTCAAATTTATAATGTCAAGGCTTTGTATTTATAAGCATGGTATATTTCTGCACTTGAATTTTTTTATGCTTTTCAATAAAGTTTTAAAATTTTCTACATAAAGGTTCAAGATTATGGGGCTGGAGGGATGGCTCAGTAGTTAAGAGCACTGACTGTTCTTGCAAAGGACCTTGGTTCAGTTCCCAGCACCCACACGGCAGCTGTCATCTGTAGCTCCAGTTCCAGGGGATCCTGCACCCTCTTTGGACCTCCATGGGTATTGCACAACACGGTGCACTTACCTACATGTAGGTAATACACTAATACACATAAAAAATAAAAATAAAATATTTTTAAAAGATACAAGAGTACATGTCATTTGACCATATAAACAACAAAGAGGCATTCTGAACATTGTTAAGTTGCTTCGTGAAGTAAACTGCCTCACTTTTGTAGCATTTATTGGTTCTATATGAGAATGGAAAAGGAGGCTACATGGCCTTATTTGAGGTCTCAAGATGTGAGTCAAGTGTGGTGGCACATGCCTTTAATCCCAGCACTGAGTAGGCAGAGGCAGGCTTGGTCTACATAGTTCGAGGCCAGCTGGAGCTACAGGGAGCCCCCTCAGAAAAAAAGATCACAAGATGTAATTGGTGTCTTAATCATAGCATCATTCTCTGAAGCCTGGGTGGTCACCGATCATGTCACTGAATTCTTTCATTCTGGTATTTCTAATGCATCTGTTCTTGACATTATCTCTAAAATTGCTCTTGACTTTCACTTCGTCTCTAGTCATCTTTCAGTTGCTTCTCTGCCTAGCCATTCACTGCCATGCAAACAGTCTGCCCTCGTGCTTACCTAGTGAAAGCCCAGCTGTGCGATTGGCACACCTCAGATGTCTGGAATTCTGCTGGGCAGTCCTTTGACAGCTCTAACCAATTCCTTCACTATATTAGTTTCCCAATTCTACTGGAACAAACTACAAACTTGGCTTAAAATAAATTTATTCTCTCACGGGTCTGGAAGCCAAAATAGTGCAATAGGGACCCTTGGTCATCTCCAAAATACCAAATTTTCATCAAAATGTTTAGATGTTGCCTTGTGTGGAAGTAAAACTTGTTTCCTTCTGTGAATTAAAGATGTCAGCAGGGTCACACTCCCTGCACAGAATTTAGGAAAGAATCCACTCCTTGCCCTTTTCAAGTGGTTGCTGGCTTCCCTGGCTAACAGCAACACAACCCCATTCTCTCCGTAAGTCTTTACATCACCTTATGTGTCTGTAAAAATCTCTTTGCTTGTTTAGTTTGTTAGGACAGGGTCTTGCTATGTAGCCCAGGCTATCCTGGAACTAACTTACTTGTGTAGTCCAAGCTTACTTTCAACTCAGGATTTTTCTGTTTCAGCCTCCTGGGTACTATGATGACATGCCCAGCTCCCTTTGCCTTACTCATAGGCAATTGTGATGACACCATGGGCTACAGGATAATCTAGAATAAGCGCAAGATCCTTAGTCATATCTGCAGAGTTTATTTTCACATACAGCAACATTTAAAAATTCTGAGGATGAGAATTTGGTATTTTGGGGTTGACCAGATGTCCCTATTGTATTATTTGTGGTAGCTTTGTTACAGAGTATATATAAGAACATGATGAGGCTGGAGAGATGGCTCAGCAGTTAAGAGCACTTAACTTTTGCAGAGGACCTGGGTTTGGTTCCTAGCACCCACGTTGGGCAACTCAGCCACCTGTAATGCCAGCTCCAGAGAGTCCAGTACCCTCTTTTAGCCTCCATGGGTACCAACACACACACACACACTTACACACACACACACACAAAACACAACACAAAAGTAAAATCTTCAAAAATATGTGAAAACATGCCTGTACTATTCTCAGACCTCCAGTGCTCCTCAATGGGTATCAGTTCTGAATGTTAGCACAATACATCTCTTTGAGGTTTCCATGATTGTAATTGTTGACTTACAAAATTTGTAAGATGAAATCATTTTCTTTGCTATTTTTAAAAACTCGTGTTAACAGACTTAGCTGTGGTTTGTTAATCCTCACATGTTTCATATATGTTTTAGTATGCCATAATTCGTGTCTATTGATGGCATTTGGGTTATTTGGTGCTTTTGTTGCTATGGAACAACAGTGAGGTTACTGGGCTATGGAACTTTGGGACTGCCAAGCTGTTTCTCAAAATAGTTATGCCAGAAGCACTCCTTCAGTTAGATGAGGGGGCTCATGTCACAGTTTAATTTTTGCTAATTTGGTGAATATGAGCTGTTTCATACTGGTTTTAATTTTCTTGCTTATGAATGAGTGAATGAACTTAAACATCTCCTTTATTTTTTAATCTGGAGATTGAACCCAGGACCCCATGCATGCTAGGCAAGTGGTCGGTCACCATGCTATACAGTATAGTTTGATGTTTTGTGTTTTTTTGTTGTTGTTGCTGTTGTTTTGTTGAGATAGGATCTCACTGTATAGCCCTGGCTGGCCTAGAACGGATTATGTAGACCAACCTGGCTCAAACTCATAGAGTCCACCTGCCTCTGCTTCCCAAGTACTGGGATTAAAAGCACACTCCACCACACCTGGCTATGCTTCCTTTTTACTTGGCGAGGTTGCTGGGGGATGATCCATAGTGTCAGAAGTTTGCCAGTCCTTTGAAAGAATTGGACTGCTATTTTTTGTTCTCTTTCTTTACTTCTTACTTTCATCTTCTTTGGTTCTTTCCTTCTAGCATACTTACTGGTTTTTTCTCTAATTTGAGATGGTACTCAGCTCATTAATTAAATTTTTTTTAATTTTATGTGCATGAGTGTTTTGCCTATGTATGTAAGTGCATATGTGTCATGCAAAGGCATAGGCCAGAGGAGGGTGTCCGATCCCCTGGAACTGGAGTTAAGGACAGCGGTTAGCTGCCATGTGTCTGTTGTGTAACCAACCTGGGTCCTCTGCAAGAGCAGCCACTGTTCTTAACTGCTGAGCCATCTCCACAGCTTATTAACTTTAACTTTTTAACCAATCTTTTCCTCTTAATACATACATTTGAACACCAGGCATGGTGGCACTTGCCTTTAATCCCAGCACTCGGGAGCCAGAGGCAGGTGGATCTCTGTGAGTTCGAGGCCAGCCTGATCTACATAGCGAGTTCCAGGCCAGCTGGGGCTACAAGGAGACCTTGTCTCAAAAATACTAAAAAACAAACAAACAGGAAAAAACGTACATTTGAGTTTTTTTTTTAATTTGCACTATTATTTCAACTTTATTCCACAAGTTTTGATGCTGTATTTTATTGTTGTTCTAAATGTATTCAAATTTCCCATCATAATTCTTAAATCTACTAGGAGTATGTTTCCAATCATATGGGGCTTTCTCTTTTGTTTTTTATTGACTACTCTGTTGTGATGTTTGCAATATTCAGTCCCTTGAAATTTCCTTAGGTTTTTTGACCTAGTTTATGGTTGTGTTTTTAGCTACCATCATATACCACGACTGTCATTTCCATCAACAACAGAGTG